GACTAAGACCCCAAAAAGCAAATGCAATAGAACCAAAAAGAAATAAATGGTACTTAATTAAAACAAAAAGCTTTAGCACAGCAAGATAAATAATCAACAGAATAAATAGACAACTTACAGAATGGGAGAAAATATTTGCAAACTATACATCTGACAAAGGGCTAACACTCAAAATCTCTAAGGAACTGAAATCAGCAAGAAAAACAATGAAGAATTGCATTAAAAACTGGGCAAATAACATGAACAGATGTTTTTCAAAAGATGTTTTGCATTTCATGCAAATGGCTAACAAACATGAAAAAATGCTCAATATCAATAATTATCAGAGAAATGCAAATTTAAGCCACCATGAGATACCATCTTACCCCATTTAGAATGGCCATTATCAAAAATTAAAAAAAAAAAAAAACAACAGATGGTGCAGATGTGGTGTAAAGAGAACGCTTATAACTGTTGGTGGGAATGTAAATGTATAAAATCTCTATGGGAAAAAGTACAGAAATTTTTCAAAGAACTAAAAGTAGATCTACCATTCATTTCAGCAATCCCACTACTGGGTATCTACCCAAAGGAAAAGAAGTCATATAAAAATGACAGCTGCACTGGTATGTTTATACTGCACAATTCACAATTGCAAAGATACAGAATCAATCTAAGTGCCCATAAACCAGTAAGTGAATAAAGAAAATCTGGTAAATCTACCATGGAATACTACTCAGGCATAAAAAAGAATGAAATAACGTCTTTTGCAGGAACTTGGATAGAACCAAAGGCCATTATCCTAACCAAAATAACTCAGGAACGGAAAATGAAATACCGCATATTCTCACTTATAAGTAGGAGCTAAGCCATGGGTGTGCAAAGGCATACAGAGTGGTATAATGGACATTGGAGACTCAGAAATAGGGAGGTTGGAGGGGAGTGAGAGATTTGTAAAATCACCTATTTGGAATATTGTGCACTATTTGGGTGACAGGTATACTGAAACCAAGACTTCACCACTTTACAGTTCCTCCATGTAACCAAAAACCACTTGCACCCTTAAAACTATTGAAATCAAAATAAAAAATTAAAATGCTAAAAAAATACTCAAGTGATGCCTTTTAAGGGTACAAACAAGGCTGGGTGCAGTGGCTCACGCCTGTAATCCCAGTACCCTGGGAGGCTGAGGCAGGCAGATCATCTAAGGTTGGGAGTTCAAGACCAGCCTGACCAACATAGTGAAACCCTGTCTCAAAAAAAAAAAAATAAATAAATAAATAAAAAATAAGTACAAACAAGGTATTGAGGGGAGGATTTGAAGGTTTATGAAGATCATTGTCTGAATACGTATCAGCTCTGTGAAGGCAGAATTGTATCTGTGTGGCTCAACGTTTTACACCCAGGGTATATATAATGTGGGCATAATAAATAATGCAATAAATAATTGCTGAATGAATGAAGGGGCTCAGCCAACCAATACTTCTAGTACCTATTATATACCAGGCAGCACCATTATTGACTGACATTATAAAAATATCCACTTACGTGTTCAGCACAAACAAATCTAAGGCGTACAATTCCATGATGTAGGAAGCGTTATCCCCCTGTGGGCAAATAAAGAACCTGAGTCTCGAGGATATTAAGTGTTTGGCCTCAGTTCTCATAACCAGTAAGTGGCAGAGTCAGCGTTAGAACCTATGTCTCTCTCGTGCCATCCCTAACTTGTTGGACTTCTCGACTCTGCTTGCCTCCTTGGGTATCATTAACTCCTATTCAGGCAGATCAGCCTGTGCTGAGGAAAAAAGGAATGAGCAGCGTACCTTTTTCTTCTCTCAATCAGTTTAGAGAGGTGCACACTTTTTTTTCCCTCCAGTCATAAAGAATCTCAGAATTCTAGGGCTAGAAGAAAATATGGAAGATTCTTCTCTTGGTGCTGAAAGCTTGAGCAGAATTTGCAGAAGCCCCTTCTGGGAGCTCTAACTAGCTCTTTGGTAAGTGCAAGGGGCAGAGTCTGCCCTCGCCTGCCTGCCTGCCTGCCTGCCTGCCTGCCTGCCTGCCTGCGGTCATTGCTGGCCTTGCTAATTAGATCCCCTTTTGTCTAAGGAGCTTCAAGAGCCTTTCTCCACTTAACTTGTTAATCTTCACCCCATCCCTCTGATGCAGATGACAAGCTTAATTAGTCCTAGACAGGAGACAACACAGAGCCAGCAGACAGCAGGCAGAGCCAAAAGAAAAACACTGGATAACTTGTTGCCCCTTCTCACCTGGCTCCCTGTCTCTCCTGCTGAAAGACATGTTTTCAGCTTTGTCTTGAATTGGCTTCTGCCCTGTGTTTTGGTATCCCAATTCTAGAAATCAAGCCTAGTCAATTTGACTCTTAATGCACACATTTGGGTATGCAAAAATATCACATTGCTTTCTTTTTAGCTTTAAGTTTAGCTCAATCGAACATAAGCCCTCCATCTCTCTGCGCTGATGGGAGATTCCTTCTCAGCTGTCATTGGTGCAAACTGCATCTCACAACCTCCAGAAGCAGTATCAGTTCTAGGGTCCATAAGCAGAGAAAAGCTTCTCTGTGTTCGCTGCAGTGGTGGATTCCTGCTGGCAGTGGCTGAAGCGCCCATCATGTATGCTTTGAGGTCCTAGTGCTCTCTTGCATGAGAAGGTGAGTGTAGTCAGCCATGCTAGGTGTCCAATGGCCACTCTTAAGTGGCGCTGCCGGGAAAGGAGGCTTGAGTGCCTCGGTGGTCCGTCAGACCACTATCACCTCTGTGCTTCAGAGAATCTGCCTCTGCCACTTAAGGCTCTTTCCTCCCCTCCAGGACACACTGCACTGTCTTCTTAATGAATTTTAGCTCTTACAAAAGCTGGGAAGAGAAATTGTCTCTCAGCAGCTTTGGTTCAACAGACGCCCCTGAGGCAGGGGAAACCAGAGGGGCCCAGCAGTCCTCTTGAGATGTACGGAGAGAGAGCAGGGCAAAACCCCAGCTCTGTCTTTTTTATTCTACGGCAGAGAAAATAGAACAAAATATCCCCTGAGTTTTTCCACCATTAAAGCAGTGTTCCCGAAGAGGAAGCAAGGTGTATTAATTTGCTATGTTTGTCATCACAAAGTGCTGCAGACTGGGTGGTTTACACAACAGAAATTCATTTTGTTTTGCAGTTCTGGAGGTTGGGGGTTCAAGGTCAAGTTGTTGGAAAGACTGTTTTCTCCTGAGGTCTCCTTGCAGATGGCTTCTTCCTGTATCCTCGTGTGGCCTTTCTCTGTGCATGTGCATCCCTGAGGTCTCTTTGTAAATTTTGTTTTTGACGGTGTCTCCCTCCATTGCACAAGCTGAAGATCCTCCTGAGTAGTTAGGACCACAGGCATGTGCTGCCACCCCTGGCTACTTGTTGTTGTTGTTGTTGATACAGGGTCTTACTATGTTGCCCAGGCTGGTCTTAAACTCCTGGCCTCCAATGAGCCTCCCATCTCGGCTTCCCAATGTGCTGGGATTACAGGCATGAGCCGCCATGCCCAGCCTCTTCCTCTTATAAGGACACCAGTCACATTGGGTTAGAGCCCACCCTGAAGGCCTCATTTAACAAAACCATCTCTTTGAAGATCTTTCTGAAATATGGTTATATTTCAAGGTCCTGGAGATTGGGATGTCAACATATGAATATAGGGGGAGGGGCTGGACCCAATTTAGCCCATAACACAAGGGTCAACTGTATTTAAAAAAAAAATCCCATCTACTGTCTTTGCCCTCGGTGAACTACAGCCCCTCCTTTTAGGCTTTGGAGTCTACAGACCAGATTCAAGTTCCTGCTTCAACATTTCCTAGATGGCTGGGTTTAGGCAAGTTATTTAATATCTTTGGGCTATAGCGTCTCGGTGCTAACAATAGTGTCTATCTCGAAAGCTATTGTGGGGATTAGGTGAGACAGTATTGTTAAAACACTGAGCATAGTGACTGAAACATAGTAAGTGCTACATAAGGTAAGTTATCTCCTATCCACCTCAGCCCTGATTAAACCTGACATTGCCTTGAAGGCTCAGCACAGAGGCCCCTTTTTCTAGGAAGCCCTCCCTGAAGTTTCAAACTTGGGTTGGGGGCATCACCTTGTTATTTTCCCAATCGTAACACTTAACATATTGGATTGTGAAGGTCAGCTTAATTGTCCCTGTTCCTTAGCGCACGAAAACATGCATGAGGCAGGTCCCCAGTCTCATTTGTCTTCCTGACAGTTGACTGTCAGCGGTGGGCAGGTTGGTTGTTACAGGAAAGACAGAAGGCAGAGCTGGATGGATGTAGGAAAGTGAAGATACTTTAAGCAGGGTCTCAACCTACGCACTGTTGACATTTTGGCCAGATAATTCTGTGGTAGGAACTGCCCTGTGCATTGCAGGAGGGTTAGCAGCATCCATGCCTCTACCTGCCAGCTGCCCCCCAGCTATGACAACCAAAAATATCTCAACACTGCCAAGTGTTCCGTTGGGGACAAAATTGTCCCCATTGAGAACCACAGGCTCAGAATGACTCTAAGGCTTAAGTCAGTGGTTCTCATACTACCGTGTATCAGAGTCTCCTGCACTGGAGTCCCAGAAACACAAATTGCTCAGCCTCACCTTCAGAATTCCTGGCTCAGTATGTCTAGGGTGGGGCCTAAGAACTTGCATTTCTAATGGGTGCTGGTTGGGTGCCAGTTGGGAACCACTGCCTTAAAGGCCAACAAGGCTTTATTCTCAGTAACATTAAGAGACATGTACTGAGTACTTTTGATCTCAGGCTAGAGCTGGCAGAGTAAAAAGAAATCCCACAGACTTGGGGTCCTGAGGGACACATTTACACGAGACTTCCCTAGTCTGTAGGCATCAAGGAGATGGGAGGGTGGGAGGCAGGGGTCAGCCTGGAGTCAGGAAAGTCCCCACTGGGCAAGGGCGAGGTGATGGGAGGAGCCCTAACCCCCACCCCCACCAATCATACCCACAGAGAGTCCCAGCATTCGACAACTTTCATTCAGTAAAGATTTGCTGCGCACAGCTAGGTACAGGTACTCTTCTGAGCACTGGGAATCCATGAAGGACACAGCAGAAAAACACCACTGCCTTCATGGAACTTGCTTTCTGATGTGGTGAGACAGGAAATGAGAATGCTAAGTAAATTGTGTAACCTGTTAGGAAGCCGTATGTTCTATGAAAAAAATAAATGAGAGTAGGTGAGACTGGAGGTGGGAGGGTGATTACAATTTTAAATAAGATGGCTAGCAGTGGTGTGCCGGTAAATGCTTAACAACTGGCTTTCTGCGGGGGAAAGCCTTGATTTATAGCAATGGCCAGTTTTGATGGTGTAGATATCCTTACCATGGAAGATCAAAGCTATACATTTGATTGATTGATTGATTGATTGATTGATTTTATTTTATTTTTTTCCTTGTTTCAAGCTTTAATCAAAGCTTGTATATAAGATTACTTTATTCCTGCATCTTCTCAATTGTTTCTTCCTTGTATTTGCCCTTTCCTTTCCTACTTGGCGAGATTTGGCTTTTGGTTCAAGGAGCTTTTTGCGGTCTTTGTCCAGTTGTAGCCTAGTGATAACCACCTTGCTGGGGTGAATGCCTACATGGACAGTTGTGCCATTAGCCTTTTCCCGCTGCACCCATTCAATGTAGATTACGTATTTCTTCCTGTAAACCTGGACTACTTTGCCAATCTGCTGACCTTTATAGTGTCCTCGTACAACCTGAACTTCATCATCCTTTCGGATGGGCATGGATCGCACGTTGTATTTCTGTCTCAGCTCTTTGGAAAGAGGAGAGGACATAATCTTCCTGCGAATGTGGGAAGGTGCATTGAAATGCCTTTTGCGATTCTTGCTTAGGTCGGAAGTCACAAAGGGATTGAACTTCATTTTGGCAGCTCCCGCTTAGGTGATGGCAGCCAATTGATTTATTTTTTTTAGAGACGTGGTCTTGCCCTATTGAACAGGCTGTAGTGAAGTGGTGCCATCATAGCTCACAGCAGCCTCGAATTCCTAGGTTCAAGTGATCCTCCCACCTCAGCCTCTACCTCGGCTGGGACTACAAGTACACATCACCATGCGTGGCTTATTTAAAACTATGAATCTGAAATCATTAAATGGGAAATTGGGAGTATATATGAGCACAGTGTTATGTAGTATTCCTACCATACAGATGCAGTGGATGTAAATAACCTCAAGTATGGAGAACAGTAAAATGTAGAATAATTGAGAGATGATGAGTTTCAAGTATTTTAAAAATCTGGGCTACTAATACAACTTATTTAGTTATAAGTTCAGATAATTTGGTTTTCACTAATGTCTGTGTTTGCTAACCAGCTAGGAAATATCCTGGAAATTTAACTATCAGCTCCTGTGAACTGAGATTAGCCAGCCCTGGTGTACCACTGGTGATTGCAGAAGGCCTTGCTGAGAAAAGGACATCTGAACAGAAACCTGAAAGAGGTGAGGGAGTAAGGCCTGGGGATATCTGGGGACTCACGCTCACTTCCTGCCTGGGAGAAGAAGCCTCTCAGGCTGGTGTGATCACACATCCATGCTCTTGTCCCTGCTGTCTCCTGAGCCTGGACAATCTCTGTCCTCCTGATATGCTTAGTGACAGCTTTCAGGGCCAGACTCCCAGATAACTGATAGGGTAGAATTCCTTATTTCTCCCAGGCCTCCTTACATCCTTTCTGGAAAAACAGGTGGCTATGAAGGTGATATGAATAAATGAATGACCACAAGTAAACAAGCAGTGTTCTTCTGTGATCCCATAGCACCTTGAGCCCAATTGTTTCAGCTCTTTACATTATTATCCTGTTCCTCTGTCCGTGTCTGCTACCCCCAGCCCCCATGGAGCCTTATGTGGGGTGCATGAAAATGCCTGGCTCAAAGCTGACATTCCATGAAAGCTTAGTTATTGAATGGGTCACTGTGACCCTAACCTAGGCTGGTTTAAGGCATGAGTGGGTTTTGGTGATCGCCCTTCTGTTGGGTGAAGTCTGCAGGCTGAGGCCCTTCTGCTGCAGCAGCCTTGTTAGCATGATGGCCCACCCCTGGCCTGTGCAGGTGAGGCCAAGGAGAGTCTACACAAGCAGGCCCCAGCCCCAGCCCCAGCTATTCCTGATAGCCACCACCTGTTGGGCCACGGGTCTGGGGCTTTATTGAGGCTGTGTTACCTAATTCTCACAGCAACCCAGCAGGTGGGGGTCCTTATCCCCTTTGTACCTATGAAGAAAATGAGGGGAAAGACAAATCACTCGGGTAGTAAGTGACAGAGCTTTCCCTTTGCTGCACAGGTTGGGGAAGAGCTGGTAGCATATTCTGTAGAATATTAACTGTAATAATACCAGGTAGCATGAGTAAATGCTCATTAGAACTGCAGCCACGCTTGGGAGCACAGCAGAAGAAATTAGTGATTCCACCTGGGGCAGGTGATCAGGGAGCCCTTGAACACCATAGAAACCACAGCCTGAGCTTCGGCTTCTGGGTGGAAAGGGTGCGGGGACTCTGGGCCCTCCCACTGGAAACCTAGGTGTTGGTGGGACCTCAGAAGCGAGGATTTTCATGAAGGTGGCTCAGGATCTGCCCCCAAGTGCCTTGGGCCAGTATCATTTATTTATTTATTCACCAAAACAAGCTGAAGTAATATTTTTTAAATGTTAACTTATTTCCCCCGGTGTTTTTCTCTTAATGCAACATGCTGGTCTGAGTCCACACCTCAGTGGAGGGCGGTGTCAGGGAAGAAGGCAAAAATAGTGCCCCCACTCCGTCTTTCTGGTTTTGCTTTCCAAAACTTTGAGTCCTCAATGGAACAAAGAGGATTAGGGGATCTCCAAAATGTCTGGGAAAAAGCAGTAAAGAGAGACAAAGATTCCCCCCATCTGCCTGGGTTTGAGGAGGTAGAGGGTGAAATCAATAAGAACAGGATGGGCCAGTCTAGCCTGGGGAGTCGCCAGTCACTGCAGGTGCCCAAGAAAGCTTTGGGAAGCCTGGGGCAGGGGTGGTCTACCCCTTTCCTGGGAAGAACCCTGGGGGAAGCAGGATGACCCTACGAGGGAGTGGCTGCAGACCCAGCGAGGGTCCCTTGTTCCAGCCTGGCCCGGAGGGAGCGGAAGGATCCCTGCCCTCGTGAGGCGTGGAGACGAGAGGGAGCCCGGCCAGACCTCACGTTGTTGGGACAGCAACGGTGCCTGTGGGATCTGCTGCCTTAGGACCAGCAGGACACTGGTGGTCTCATCAGAAGCCCAGGTGGACGAGTGAATTAAGAACCAGCTCCCATGCCTCTGCCTCGAGCCCTCGCGTGACATGATTCACTGAAATTCAGCCATGATCTCAGGAAAAAGGTGAGAGAACCTCAAATTGATGACATTTCAGTTTCTGTTACCTTGAGGGTATCGTGGCTTCAAGTAAAAATTAAGTCAAGTTACAGAGTTATCAAGTACAGAAAATATTTATCAAACCTCTAAGACTTTAGGCACTGGGGTTGGGGGTGGGGAAAATCAGTAAACAGGGTACCTGTCAGCGGTCCCTCTGCCTACGTTCCTGAATTAGAAGTAATGCCAGCGCCTGGCTTGTATAGGCGCTCCTCCGCGTGCACCGTAGTACCACTGATGTGTGTTAGGCGCTGACTTTATGCTAATCCTTGTAAGAAGGATACCCTTCATCCTGTTTTAGACGGGTTCTTGGGGCTAAAAGACGAAGCACTTTTTGCAAGACCACGTGGCTGTTTTGGGTTGAATTGTGTCCCCCCAAAAGATATTAAAGTCCTAAGCCCCGCACCTGTGAATATGACCTAACATGGAAAAAGGGCCTTTGCAATGATAAAATTAAGATATGTTTGTTAGGGTGGGCCTCATGCAATATGACTGCATTCTTATGCAAGGGGGAAATTCGTAGAGACAGACATGCACCCAGGGAAAACGCCATATGAAGACAAAGGCAGAGATCGGGGTTATGCACCTACAAGCCAAAGATTGCCAGCAAACCACTAGAAGCTGGGAGAGAGCCACGGGCCAGATTCTCCCTCACAGCCTCAGAAGGAACAGACCCTGTCAACACTCTAATCTCAGATTTCTGGCCTCCAGAACTGTGAGACCATCAATTGCTGATGTTTAAGCCACCAATCTGTGGTACTTACTTGCAGCAGCCTATGATACTAATACAGTGGGTGACTCCAGAGACTGTGACTTAAGCCATGGAGGTGTGAGCCACAAGGCTAACCACTATGCTGTTGTGCAGCTGGATTCGACAGAGTAGAATGTCTCTTTTCTCTCTGCTCCATTAACCCTTCTTTATTTCTTCCCATATCTTTTGCACTATTTTTTTTTGCTGAGATAGAGTCTCCCTCTGTAGCCCAGGCTAGAGTACAGTGGCACGATCTCGGCTCACTGCAACCTCCACCTTCCAGGTTCGAGCAATTCTCCTGCCTCACCTTCCTCAGTAGCTGGGATTATAGGTGTGCGCCACCATGCCCGGCTAATTTTTGTGTTTTTGGTAGAGATGGGGTTTGACCACGTTGGTCAGGCTGGTTTTGAACTTCTGACCTCGTGACTTGCCCACCTCGGCCTCCCAAAGTGCTGGGGTTACAGGCGTGAGCCACCGCGCCCGGCCTTTGCACTATTTTAAGTCATCCCCACTCTTTATCAAAAACCTAACTCAGGTGCCCTGTGATTCTTCCTCTCTGGGTCACTGGGAGTTCCAGAAGCACCCCCTGTATTCTCGGACCCCAGGACTGTAGCTTATGCTGCTCCCTGCCTGAAATGCTCTCTACTGTCCACCAGTGGCCACCTATTAAATTTCAACCATCTTCAAGTCAGATTTACTGTGTCCTTCCTCTACCATCAACAGCATTACAACACCAAAGTCTTTGCATGCTCAGAATCGTTGTTGGGAATGAACGTAGCTGACTTCTTCTTCTTCTTCTTCTTTTTTTTTTTTTTGAGACGGAGTTTCGCTCTTGTTACCCAGGCTGGAGTGCAATGGCGCGATCTCGGCTCACCGCAACCTCCGCCTCCTGGGTTCAGGCAATTCTCCTGCCTCAGCCTCCTGAGTAGCTGGGATTACAGGCACGCGCCACCATGCCCAGCTAATTTTTTGTATTTTTAGTAGAGACGGGGTTTCACCATGTTGACCGGGATGGTCTCGATCTCTTGACCTCGTGATCCACCCACCTCGACCTCCCAAAGTGCTGGGATTACAGGCTTGAGCCACCGTGCCCGGCCTCGTAGCTGACTTCTTAAGTGCCTTGGATACTTCTAGAAGGTCCCAGAACAGTGGGAACTTTAAAACTTCCCCACATTCTAAGACAAGTGAACCTGTAGACTTTAACGTGGTGTTCTTCACCCCTTCTTTCTCTTCTGGTTTCTCAAATTTGCATTCCCATGAAAAAGAATTATCTTCTAATGACTCTATACTTGGCATATATCTACCTTCTTAACCGGTCTTTTTTCAATCCAGGCAAGAAATCCTTATTCCACTTCCTTTCTATCTCCTTCTTGTATTTAACAAGGTTTGTCATCTCCGTGTACTAGTCTCAGCAGAGTTGATTCGGCTCCATGAGCATTTTATTTTGGCATTTGAAGATGGTGTTGCTGGAGCCTTCCATCTGTACACTGTAAAAGGATACAAACAGAACAAAACCATCCAGTTTTAGGTCCTGGATCCTCTCCAGTTTCAGATTAAGGCAGAAACCCCGCTCCTCCAGGACTGTAGCGCTGCCCGGCGCCCTGAGAGCAGACGGCTGTGGCCCCCTCTGTGCAGTGGAACACTGGCCCTTGACAGCTGCAGGCGTCTGGAGGAGCTGCTGGCCTGGCGCTTTGCAAGGCCTGTGCTGAAAGCTCCTCTCCTTTTTGGGAAAACAAATGAAATCCTGTGAGGAAACCTCAGCCTGGACAGATTTCCCTTGAGAAGAATCCATTCTGATGTGTGCCTCTCCTTGGTGGCTTTCTACCACAACCTTTGACAGTTAAGGCCACTTCGTGCTGCTGTAGTCCATTTCTCTAAGGAGCCTCAGAGCCTCTGAGTCTTACAAGCGCTGCCTGAAAGAAGCCTGCACTTGCCTAACAAAGGGGAAAGATGCCTTAGTACTTCTCATCCACCAGCACAATCCAATGGTCCTATAGGAACAATTACATCTAACAAATATTTTAGGTGTGTTTAAAGCATGGGCTAGTAATGAAGTGGAGGAAGGGATGGTGGGAGCCTTCTTGCTTGCTTTTAAAATTCTATATTTGACAGGAATACTCTGTGCTGGTATAACAATGGCATTCTAGAGAACAGTAGCTTTTCTAGGATAAAAGTTTAGTTCTGGCTGGGCGTGGTGGCTCATGCCTATAACCCCAGCACTTTGGGAGGACAAGATGGGCAGATCATTTGAGTTCAGGAGATTGAGACCAGCCTGGCCAACATGGTGAACCCTGCCTCTACTAAAAATAGAAAAAGATTAGCTGGGCATGGTGGCATGTGCCTGTAGTCCCAGGTACTAGGGAGGCTGAGGTAAGAGAATCAATTGCTTGAACCCGGGAGGTGGACGTTGCAGTGAGTCGAGATCGCACCACTGCACTCCAGCCCGGGAGACAGAGCAAGACTCCATCTCGAAATATATAAATAAATAAGTTTAATTCTGCTTCATGGACTAGCCCAGAGGTTGTCTGGTAGTCAGCAGTCTGATAGAGTGGTCCTGCCACTCTCATTGAATATTTCCCTGCTCAGGGTCTCACTCAAACCTCTGTTTTTCAGTCAAAGAAAAGAGAAGTGTTTGCCCAAGATTCTACTCACATCCCATGAACCCAATACTGGTAGCCTGGCCACCTCCAGTTGCAAGAGATATTGGGAAACGTAGTCTTCAGTGGAATGCCTGTGTGCCTAGCTAAAAATGAAAAACGATCACTGAAGAACAGGTATGAATGGACATGTCCTAGTTTCTGCCAGCCTTCTTTCATGTGTTCACCCCCTAAATAATTACTTACTAAGTGCCAGCCATGTGTTTGGCCCTGTTTTTACTCAGTTGCTTATAACCCAGCAATGTATATGAACACATGCTCTACTAAAGTCACATGGTGCTGCATTCTCTACTAATTCACATGATATGGCTCTTCAGGGAAGGAAAGGCTCATTTCTGTCTGGAGAGATTTGTCCATTTGTTTACAGATTTGCTGAGCACTGTGGTCGGCAGCCTGTGAGATGGCCCCCAGTGACTCCACGTCCCAGAATGCACATCCTTGTGCAATCCCCTTTCCTTGAATCTGTGCTGGACCTAGTGACTCACTTCTAGCAAACAGAATACAACAAATGTCACTTTTAAGATTGGGTTACAAGAGGACTGTGACTTCCACCTCATTCTTTCTCAGACTTCACTCTGGGGAAATCCAGCTGCTGTGTTTCGAATAACATTATGGAGAAACTTGTGTGGAATATCTCCGGTCAACAGTCAGCAAGGATCCTAACGTCTGCCAACACTATGCGATTGAGCTAGAGAGTAGATTTTCTGAGGATTGCCAACAGCCATCCAAGTGAACTGAGAAACAGATGCCCCCCTGCAGTTGACCCTTGAGATGACTGTAGCCTGACCGACACTTTGATTACAGCTTTGTGAGAGGTCTGCACTACAGTCACACAGCTAAGCTGTACCTGTACCTAAATTTCTGACTCAAAGAAACTGTGAGACAATAAATATTGTTATTTTCAAATGCTAAATTTTGGGGTAATTTGTTATGCAGCAATAGATGACTGATAAGGGTAAGGGTGCTACTATTTTCAGGTAGTATGCGAAGCCATCAGAATGTGAAAAATAAGTGATGCTTCATTTGGTCACTGGGTCTGGGGAGACGGGAAGACAGCTATATATACAAACATGGTACTTAGGATAGAAGGTGGTCAGTGTAGTGATGGAGAAGTGCTGAGTGTGAAATACGGGCACAAAGGAAGAGCTCCTTATCCAGAGGAGGAAGGGAGATGAGGAGAGACAAATACTTTGAGAGAAAGTATTTTCTGGAGAAAACAAATACTTTCAGAGAAAATTGAGGGAGGGGTCATTCTATGGAAAGGGTGACTAATGCCTGGAGGAGAAATGATACAGAATCTATGTGGGGATGGGGCACTATCACTTGTGTATAAAACAAGAGGTAAAGGAAGATGAGGCTGGAGAAGTGACTAGAAACTAACCTAGTCTCCTGCCAGTAATTTATTTATTTTTATTTATTTACTTTCAGACAAGGTCACACTTTGTCACTCAGGCTGGAGTGCAGTGGCGCAATCTCGGCTCACTGTAGCCTCAAGTGATCCTCTCACCTCAGACCCCAAGTAGCTAGGACTACAGGCCCCCACCACCATGCCTGGCTATTTTGTTTTTTGGTATTTTTGTAGAGGTGGGGTTTTGCCATGTTGCACAGGCTGGTCTCGAACTCCTGAGCTCAAGTGATCAGCCCACCTTGGCCTCCCAAAGTGCTAGGATTACAGGCAGTTCACCTGACCCAGTAATTTATTTTTAAATAATCAATGTTATGAAATCCTGCCTTGAGTAAAAGGAGGTAAAAACAAGAGTTAATGAAGGAACTGGCACGTTCTCAACAGTCCAACACCTGAATTTTAAGAAGCCAGTTTCAATTACCTATAAAACACTGACAAACGTAATTTGTTTCATTGTTTTGCTCATAAAATTTGAGCCAGGAACAGCTGACATATTTCCATGGGATAATTGTGGTTCCTATTGAGAAACCAGTGTAGACAAGCTGTTGGATAGATTTACAAGTGGGGAATTGACCCTTTCAGCTTCAGGATCTTATGTGTCTATATTTTGAAAATTTGAGGAGAAGTTTAGGAAGAGTTGTATGTTTTTCGTTGTTCTTATTTCTTGTTTTGAGGCAGGGTCCCACTTTGTCACCCAGGCTAGAGTCAATGGTGTGATTTTGGCTCACTGCAACCTTGACCTCCTGGGCTCAAGCAATCCTCCCACCTCAGCCCCTCAAGTAGCTAGGACTACAGGTGAGCATTACCACACCCTGCTAAATTTTTGTCTGTGTATTTCTTGTAGAGACTGGGTTCCACCATGTTGCCCAGGCTGATCTCAAACTCCTGGCCTCAAGTGATCCTTCCTGCTCAGCCTCCCAAAGTGCTAGGATTCCAGGTGTGAGCCACTGAGCCTGACCTGGTTGATGGTTTTCTTCCTTCCTTCCTCCCTTCTTCTCTCTTTCCCTTCCTCCCTCCCTCCTTTCTTCCCTTCTTCCTCTCTCTCTCTCTCTCTCCTTTCCTCTCTTTCTTTCAATTTTTCAGAATGTTGAAGTCTCCAATAATATTTCTAGGCTCTGAGTCTCAGCTTTGCAAGGCATGAAATGAAAAAAGTATTTCTGTCTCCCTTGAGAGAAGGATAAACTCTAAAGATTTTTAAACTAACTCTCAGAAGGTTCTCTGGATCATTACTGCTCACAAGTGCATCTAATGACTCAGTAGATAATGAGTTTATTTGAATAAAGATGACTACAAACCTATGCTTGTGGATATGATTGGCTTAGAAATTGGAGAAATTTTAAAAACTAACCTTTAAACTTAAAATATTCTACAATATCACCACAAAGTGATTTGCTTTATCTAAAATCCTTATTTATTTATTTATTGGGACAGGGTCTTGTTCTGTTGCCCAGGCTGGAGTGCAGTAGTGTGATCTCAGCTCACTGCAATCTCTGCCTCCTGGGTTCAAGCGATTCTCCTGCCTCAACCTCCAGAGTAGCTGAGATTACAGGTGCCTGTCACCATGCCTAGCTAATTTTTGTATTTTTAATAGAAATGGGTTTCACCATGTTGGCCAGGCTAGTCTCAAACTCCTGACCTCAAATGATCCACCTGCCTCAGCCTCCCAAAGTGCTGGTATTACAGACGTGAGCCACCAGGCCCAGCCTAAAATTCATAATTATTAATATATAATGATCAGGCGCCCCCTTGCCTGTAGCACACACAGTTCCTTGAAGCTGGGGTCTGTGCTTCTGCTCATGCTTGTGGGAGCAGGGGTTTTGAGTAGGCTGCTAGAAACAAAATATCACCTGCTGTGTTGGGTTTTGCTGGAGGCTGCATGCTCCTCTTCCAAATGGAATTGGGCATCCTTCTCATATGATGAAGTTCTTTCTTTCTCTGCTCCCATATATGAGTGTCTTGTGCTGCTATTACCACCTGCAGGAATGATACTAAAGTATTATCAACCAAAAAGGCAAATGCATTGGCCAATCAGAATGGACATAGTGCTTGCTGGAGAAGTATTTTGGAGTCTCCTACACCAGTTATTAGCCATTTAATAGGGAGATCTGGGGGCTCCAGAGGAGAGACTAAGTGACAAGGTATTTCTTAGGGGCTCAGGGACTCCTAGGGGAATCAGGTTTGTACAAGGCGAATAATATTGTGGTTTTGGGCTTTTTTTTTTTTTTTTGGTGGAGACTGGTTCTCACTTTGTCACCCAAGTAGGAGCGAAGTGTTGTGAACACGGCTCACTGCAGACTTGACCTCTTGGGTTCAAGCCATCCTCCTGCCTCAGCCTCCCGAGTAGCTGGGACTACAGGTGCACACCACCATGCCTGGCTAATTTTTGATTTTTTTAGTAGAGACAAGTTTTCACCAACACCTGGTTCAAATGATCCACCCACCTCTGCCTCCCAAAGTACGGGGTGATCTGTCTTCCCCAGCAGAGCATGAGCAGCTTGAGGATATGAGCTCTATTTTAGTCGTCTTCAGTGTCTCTTCTACCTAACACAATATCAGCCCCTAGTAGGCATTTAGTAAATTTTTATTGTGCAAAATTGAAATATGCCTGTTTAAACATGTAGTATTTACTGGGGACTCTGCCTTAAGTTAGGTACAGCTCTAGACAATTTGGGGGACGTAAAGAAAATTAAGAGTTGGTGTTTATCTTTGATGAGTTTTCAGTCTAGTTAGCAGACTGTAGTAGAAACTGTCTTGCTCATCGTGGTTGCCCAGTGCCTGACTCAGTGCTTGGCACATAGCAAGCACTCAATAAACATTTGTTGTAAGTTCACGTGTCTGGGCTAGGAGAGTTGCTTCAGACTGGTCACTCTTTGTTTACCCCTCCAAATCTGCCAGCCCAGCAAACTCAGTTCCACAGAATTATTCCCAGTGATCCGACCAACTATGATGGTTAGCCAGGAACAAAAGCCACTAGGAAAATAAAGCATCACTTTTCATCTGGATGTTTCCAAAGGAACTAAAGTATTAAAATAAAGTCACAGTTGTCCCAATCAGATCATCTTTTCAAAGGAATTACAGGGTTGTGAGCCAACAGCAACCACATACACCTTTGCAGTAATCAGAACCAGTGTTCTGAATGCTGAAAGCAAAATCAAGTAAACAAGGTTGTGTTGTGGACCTCCTTGACCCAGACTTTCAGGAAGGAGCTGACACACTGCCCAGACTCGCACTCACCCACATCGCTCAGAAGCCAAACAAACTCGAGAAGCTCGTGTTTTCCCAGCTGTATGATGCACTCACTTCACCAAGTCACTGGCCAGAAAACAAGAAAAGAAAAAAAAAAAAATGCCTCGTTCAGACGAGTCAGGGAAAGAAGAATTGCTTCAGCTGCCCTTTGCTTTTTATTTTCATGGAGTATCAAAAAATACAAAAATGGAGGAAGTCAGTTCTATGACTTTGAGTCACTGGAAAGGAAACAAAACATTATTTTTTCTTTTAGAGAGCTGATCATGGTATTACGCTGCCTTAAAACTTCAGTGGCTTTCTATCTTATAATCTTCAAACTCCTTGGTATCGCTTCCAGGTCTTTCATAACTTTTTTAAAACAATCTTTGTAGCCACCCACATCTGCCTCCTTTCCTTCCACTGAAAGCTGTTCTTGAGCTTTGCCAGGCTCCCGTGGTCTTAAATACTGCATGTGCTTCCTGGCCTACATGCTTCTTTGTTCATGCTATTCCTTTTGCTTGGTATACCCTTCCTTGCCTTGATCACTAGGTGAACTACAACTCCTTCAAGACCACTTCAAATGGCACCATTACTCATCCCAACAGCAGATTTAGCTTCTCCATCTGTCTCCCCTTAGGACTACTTTGTGGGTACTTCTTACCACGCTTGTTCTTTGTATCAATCATCCACTCATTTGACATTGTCTTTGCACTTTGTACCAGATACTATGTGAGGTGCTGAGGATCCAGGTGTAAAAGTCCCTATCTAGTGGAGAATGCAGACAAGTAAATTGATTGTTATGAGACAGAACTGTGTTTTTGGTAAAGGTAAGCACAGGTTGCTTTGGAAAATCAGAGGAGGGTCACATACCCCGATTTGACTGGAGGGAGAGAATCCAAAAGGCTTCCTGGAGGAGAGGACACCTGAACAGTCTAAAGAACAAGGAGTTTTTGTGTCCATCTTCTCATTCTTGGCAGAGCACTCTTTGAGAAAAGAGGTCATGGCTCATATCAAACCAAATCATTTATTCTATACATGTTCATTGAGCTCTTTGCTAGGAGGCAAATACTCTCAGGGGCAGCTTGGGAACTAGGGAGAAGCAGTCAGGAGGGAGAGAGGTGGATAAGAAAAATATGAGAGGAAATCAAGGACGAGTCTCAGGTTTCTAGCTTAGGTGAACGGGTGATAGTGAATTAGGGCCGCCATGTGTGGTCGTGCAGGTTGTGGACTCACAGATAAAGAAGGTGGGGCAAGTTCAATGGAGGAGAGCCTTA